AAAAAAAAAAACGAGGGCCTCCCCGCTCTGTGGCTCACACCGGAGGAGCGCATTGAATCCAAATATCAAAGCCAGTGGCAGGGCCAGTCATAGTAAATGGAATGGACCAAACACAACTGCTTGGAATGGAAACCACGGCATTTAACAAAAATTGTGTTCTTGTTGACGAAATTGAATGCAGCTGTGCTCACATGTGAAGATCGACGAATTCGGGGGGAAACGACGACATGCGCATCACAACTTGAGATCCACCGTTCAACATGTTATAGAGAAGGTGTCAACATCAGACACACCAACCATAACAATGGCGCGCTACTCTTTGTTGTTTCCCCATGTAAGCAGTTCGATTTATTTTCTCTTTTTATCTTTACAACAAAATAGAATGAAAAACAGAAGACAAAGCCCGCCTACAATGAGCAAGCTGCGGATCAGGGTGAAACTGCTCATGATAAAGAAACGGCTGCGAAAGAAGATGAAAGTTGACGAAAGAAAGATAATAAATTGGTGTGCATAAGAATGCATTTGGAAATTCATTCTTTTACCTCGAGTTTCTCCTGCCGACATATTAAGAAATCCATAAGTGTGGCTTATTCTCCCGTAGGTTTGCCTCACTACCCCTACCCCCTAAAAACTTTACAGTATTACATATCGGTTAGTGGTCGGCATAAGGGTAGTATAGTCATTTAGTTTAACCAGTCCATTTATCTCTCCCTTTCTCTCCCCTACATGTTTTCTCCTTCTCCTTCGGCACAACTGCGGCAAATCACCACAGATTCTTCCTCCAGTAATGTTGCTCACACAAATCAACTAATTCTAGCCCCTCTCTTAATATTGAGAATGGTTCTTAATCTTGGATTCCTTGTTTACTAATTCCTAATTTGTGTGGGTGATACATCTCCAACGTATCTGTAATTTTTGATTGTTCCATGCTATTATATTATCTGTTTTGGATGTTTACGGGCTTTATTATGCACTTTTATATTATTTTTGGGACTAACCTATTAACCTAGAGCCCAAAAAGGAATTATTTAGAAGTTATTATGTTGTTTCCCGGTGTAAGCAGTTCAAAAAGGAATTCTTCTTTTATCTTTAAAGCAAAGAAGAATGAACAGCGGAAGAGAAAGCCCATTTTATAGTGAGCAGGTTCACCTACGTTTGTCAACAAAAAAAGAGCAGGTTCACCTATGGTCCATTGGCTTATTCTCTCTCTGGTACAAATGCGATTAGCTGACGAGACTGCTCGTGGTAAAGAAACGGTTGCGAAAGAAGATGAGAGTTGACAAAAAATAATAAGAAATTGTTGTGCATAAGAATGCATTATGAAATTCGTTCTTTTACCTCGAGTTCTCCTGCCGATATATTAAGAAATCCATAAGAGTGGCTTATTCTCCCGTAGGTTTGCCTCACTACCCCTAACCCCCTAAAAGCTTTAGGGTGTTGCATATCGGTCAATGCTCGACATAAGGGTAGTATAGTCCTTTTGCTTAACCAGTCTGTTTATCTCTCCCTTTTCTCTCTCCTAGTCTCTTGTTTTCTCCTTCTCCTTCAGCAGAACAGCGCCAAATCACCATGAATCCTTCCACCACCAATGTTGCTCACACAAATCAACTGATTCTAGCCCCCTCTCTTAATATTGAGAATGGTTCTTAATCTTGGATTCCTTGTTTACTAATTTTTAATGGACTGTGCTAACTTCCAGTCGACTGGACATTAGCGATAGATCCGGACGACTCCACCCACGTACAATCCACTTCTCTCGATGTGGGAATCGACCCACCGCATCTTCCTTTTTTTTCTTCTAGCGCAATAGTAGTTCGCAACCACCCAGTCTAGATTGAGCCAGTGATTAGACTGCGGTTAGATAGTATTTGTACTGCTACTTAGTGCAACCTAAAAACGAACCATTTTTCTTTCTTTCCTTTTATATTTTTTATCCTATATAGATGGCCCGGCTGCTCTGTTAATATTTACAACATCATGCTAACTTCAACGTAGTAAAAATTGTTGACATATCCCGGTATCTTCGTTGTAAATAGCATGCCAGGGTACACAAGTTTTTTTTCGAGGGTACAAAAGTTATCAACCCTCTGGTACGTAACTTATCATGCTTTTTATACATAAGTTACTGGGGAATATTTTAAACTTTTTTTGGGTCAAAGTTACGGCTGGGTGTTGTACAAAATTATTATGCTTTGCAGTCTGTAAAAATCATGATATTTACACAAAAGTTATCAAGAGATGTTTTTAATAACTTTTTCCTAGGTCAAGGTTGTCGTGGTGTTTGTACATAAGTTATCATGGCAGCGGTACATAAATTATCATACTATTTACATAGTAATTATCAGGGTACGTTTCAAGCACCCCTCGTGTTGAAAAAGTTACCGTCATATTTGTATCTAAATTATCAGAGCTGCAGTGCATAAATTATCAAGTCATTTACACAACAGTTATCGGAGTTATGTTTTCCAAAGAGAAAATTTCAAAGTCAAAGTTATCAGCTATATTGTGTGTGTATTATCATGTTATTTGCACAGAAATTACCGGGGTATGATTTTCAACAACTTTTATCCTGGGGTCAAAGGAGTTACCACGATGTTCGTATGTGGGTTATCAGCTTTGTTGTGTGTATACTACCGTCCTATTTACACAGAATTTATCAGGAGTTGCTTTTCAATATTTTTCCTCGGGTCAAATGGTTACCATAGTGTTTCTAGGTGAGTTATCAACTTTGTTGTGTCTATATTATCATGTTATTTATATACAAGTTACCGGACTAGATTATTTAATATTTTTTGGGTAGAAAGGTTACCATGGTGCTTGTACGCGAGTTATCATCTTTGTTTTGCTTATATTACCATGATATTTGCACAAAACTTACCGGGGGAATTGTTTTCAACAACTTTCATTCTGGGGTTAAAAGAATTACCGTAGTGTTTGTATGTGAGTCATCGGCTCTATTGTGCGTATATTACCATCATATTTACATAGAAGTTACCGGGGTTTGTTTTTCCACTAAATTTTCCCCCAGTCAAAAGTTACCGGCTCTATTGTGTGACCACGAGTGTTTGTTATATTATCAGGTCGTGCATAAATTATTGTGTTATTTACACAAAAGTTGATGTGTATATTATCCTGTTGTTTAGAGAGAAGTTATCGGGATATGTTTCAATATTTTTTTCGGGTCAAAATTACCATGATATTTGTATGTAAGTTATCAGATCTACGATGCATAATCGTGCTATTTACTCATAAGTTATCACGGTCTTTGCATAATAATTTACTAGGTCCGCATGCGTCAAATACCATGCTATTTACACACAAGTTTTCGGTTTTGTCGCGTGAGAGAAGCGGATCGAGTTGTTTTTCTTTTCCACTCATTTAATAAGGTATAGAATACATGTAATCTGCATAAAAAACCCAGAAGAGAGAGTTAGCTCAGCTGGTAGCATGCTATGGCCAGGTTGTTCGCGCCTGTCGCTAACGTCTAGTCGACTGGAGAATAGCTTTTGCCATTTCTAATTTGTGTGGGCATCCATTATCCATGTCTTCTGTAGTTCCTAATGCCACTGCTAGAGGAACATGCTATTTTATTAGAAAAGGAAAATGTTTCCACAATTGAGAATAGATAGGATTGTTGCTTCAATCATGTTAAAAGATTCTCTAGCAATAGCTCGATGGGTCATGACCCTTTAGTTTGGTGCCCTACAAGACTTTTGACACTTCGACCTTACCGCTATTCGTGGCAGGTGGCCTACTCTGAATTTTAAGTCAGCGTGGATTAAGAATCTAAGATAAATCATTATCATTTATTAAGTATGTTTTAAGACCTATACACTTTTTAAGGGGGGGAGTTACACATGAACAAATCTCATATAATAACGGGAAACATTTCCTATCAGTAGTCTAATAGGAAGAAATCATCATACCATATGTGATCCCTTAATTTCTAATTAATCCCACAGTCGAGGCTCAGTCGTGCTATCCACCCATATTTGACGCTAGCCCGTGATCCCCTCCCGTTCCATCTCTCCCAAACCTCGTCCTCTCCCATGCCTCCTTCGAACGGAGCTCGCCGTCAACAATGCCGCCCACATCCTCTCTGATTACGTGGCCTAGATCCATCTCGTTCACACCATGTTTCGTTCACACCTCACTACCGAAGACGCAATCCACCCCCGATGATGGAATCCACCACGTCCCCCGATCCGATCCTCTATACCGACCTACTTCTCAATGCGGCCCTGACCTTGGTGGTGCGCCGTCCTGACATTAGGTTGTCGTGTCTGCCATCTCCATTGCGTTTGTTGCATCACGAGGTGCCTGGACCCTGGAGGTTTGAACTGGATGCTGGAGTACCTACCGTCGGCCGGAGAACCAGCAGTGACCTTCGATCCTTTTCCCTTCTTCTAAGTTTATTACACTGCATGCACCAACCATTGTCATGATAATGGGTCATCATGCACATATTTACACTCAATATGATGTCTCCAATAG